ATGGGCCCACTCTTACTGCTGTTGGCTGGTATAACTTGAAGCAGTGAACATAAAGAGCTGGCTTCAGGTATAGTTATATAAAGTCAGAGAAGACATTTTGTTAGCTCCAGGATATGGCACATCGAAAGCCCACAACAAATATCAGATGACTTGCGTGAACTTAGAAAGATCAGCTAAAGCAACTGGATTTTATGAGGAACCAAGAAAAGTCTTTCTATTCATAAATGAAATACACAAGCCTGCTAGATTATTGTTGATTCCAAATAACACTTTCAAATAGATCAGGGCTCTGCAAACTCACAGACTACGACAGCACCTTCTACAAATAGCAACAAAAGTCACATACGCACAGAAGGAAAAAAATTAGAGACTTTTCCCCCACTTATAGAATCCATTCATTTAATGTGTTTACTTTTTCAATCATCTCAACTAGTTTTTCCATTCTTTATTTTTAACAAAATCCAGAATTGGGTCCAGGCATTATCATGCACACTAGTATATTTTATTGTTTTGTGACAGCTTTTTCATTCACAAAGAACACTCCACCACTTGAGAAATGAATCTCACAAACTCCTCTGGCTTCAAAATGCAATCCAGAAATCTCAGCCTCCTGAGTAGCTGGGATTACAGGCGTGAGCCACCTGCTCCTAGCTTTGGTGTGTTGGGGGGGGGGGGGGGTTGGGGTGGAGGGGGAGGTTGTCTTCTATTCTATTCAGAGACTGGGATTTTTCACTCATGCTTGGTGCTCTACCACTTGAGCCACAGCTCCACTTCCAGCTTTTTGCTAGTCAGCTGGAGGTAGAGTCTCATGGACTTTCCTGCCCAAGCTGGCTCCAACTGTGATCCTTAGATCTCAGCTTTCTAAGTAGGCAGGATTACAGGCATGAGCCACCGACACTTGGTTCCATCAGTATTTTAAGGAAGAGGAGTCAGGATTAATTAAAGTCTTCAATATTCATATTAGGGCCTAGTTATTTCTGAAGGAGAACGTCTTTCCTTCTTGCTTTCTTTAATATATCCCAGAGGGGACAGGACACAATGTCTGTCTGCATCTCATAAATTGCGTCACTGACGAGGGAGAGAGGCCTAACCAAGCAGCTCACCCAAGGAACAAGAAAGATGCCTGGCAAAGTTGAAAACATATGGTTCTGAAGTGTAACAAGGGCCACATGGCACAGGTCACAGGGAAGTCCCCAGGCCCGGCCCAGCCTGACCCCTGGGGAGGGACAGACAATGGAAACTTCCCAGCAAATCCCAGAAGTGGCCATATAAAAAATTGCAATCATATGGAGAGTGCCATTGGATGGAAGTCATTTGTAAAATTAAAAAACAACCCAGACCCACCATGCTATGCCCGTTTAGAAAGTGACAAGGCCAGATGACAGCCACCAGCTGCTCCTCAGCCCTGTGGCGTGGGACCCTGCGGTCTTAGAAGTTGGGGGCAGCACTCTAAGACTCTCCCCACCCACAGCTAGAAAGTCCCTGAGAGGTTTATCTCCAACTAATCACCAAGAAGCTAGAAGTGGAGGCATGGCTCAAGTGGTAGAGTGCCAGCCTGAGCGAAAAAGCTAAGAGACAGGGCCCAAGCCCTGAGTTCAAGCCCCAGAACAAGCACACACACACACACACACACACACACACACACACACACACACACACACACACACACACACACACACACACACACACACACACACACACACACACACACACACACACACACACACACACACACACACACACACGGATTGGGAATGTGGCTTAGTGGTAGAATGCTTGCCTAGCAGGCATGAAGCCCTGGGTTCGATTCCTCAGTACCACATACACAGAAAAAGCCAGAAGTGGTGCTGTGGCTCAAGTAGTCGGGTGCTAGCCTTGAACACAAGAGGGTTTAGGACAGTACCCAGGCCCTGAGTTCAAGCCCTAGGACTGGCAAAAAAAAAAAAAAAAAGAACTCATTGTTGAGTGCCACATCTGGACTACAGAAATACTTTAGAAGTAAACATGAGGCAAAGAGAAAGCTTAGGCAATCCCTATTTTCAACCCAATAGACAGTAGACAGTCTTTCATCCGAGTCTATATATCAGGGAAGGGTACAAAAGACCTAAACATGTAACCATCCATCTATACTGGTTAAGTCTCCCTGTAAAGACATTCTTTAACCAGTACAAAAACATTTTCCTACCTAGAAGTGAGTTTATTGCAATGAATTTCACACCGTGAACCACTCAATATGTCAGGTGCTTTTTCCATGCTATTAACAACAACAACAAAACCTTAGCAGAGTACGTAAAAAATAAATGAAGGTGGCTTGTAAATATAATAGTAGTATATAATGTGCTTCTAATATATTTGGTAAGCTAAGAGCAAGCAAGTTTGGCAAGATTTGTTTCCTTTTTTAGTTAATTCAGAAGAATATGCTACATTCATTTTTTTTTTTAAATTTTATTTTATTTTATTTGAGAACATACTGTACAGAGGGGTTACAATTACATGGGCAGGATAATGCATACATTTCTTACCAAGCATTGCAGCCTCCTCCTTTGTTTACCCTTCACCTCCCTTACATTCATTTTTTTTACATCAATTAAAAGATAGAACATATTTTGTGTTCCTATGCTGAATTTGTGTGTGCGTGTGTGTGTGTGTGTATACAGTGTATGTGTGTGTATACAGTGTGTATGTGTGTGTATACAGTGGTACTGGGACTTTAACTCAATATCTCATGTTCTCACATGTTTTTTTTTTCTTTTTGTAAAAATTTCTCTCTTGGCCTCCCTGCCCCCCTATCTCTTGACTTGAACTCAGGCTTTTCTCCTCAAGGCTAGTGCTCTACCCCTTTAGCCATATCTGTACTTCCAGCTTTTGGGTGTTTAACTGGAGATAAAGGAGTCTCATGAACTTTCCTGCCCCAGTTGGTTTTGAACAGTTCTCAGATCTCAGACGCCCCAGTAGCTAGAATTACAGGTCTAAGCCACTGGGCCCCAGCTTCACTTGAATTTTTTACTCAAGGTTGATGCTGCACCACTTGAGACATAGCTTCACTTATAGCTTTTTTGCAAGTTAATTGGTGATGAGTCTTGGAGACTTTTCTGCCCAGATTGGCTTCAAACCACAGTCCTCAGATCTCAACTTCTTGAAGAGCTAGGATTACAGGCAAAAGCCATCAGTGCCCTAGCCAGAATTTTGTAATAATCAGATGATCAGGATAAAATTAGAAAGCTACTAGAATAATCCTTTATTCTTCGCTTTTTTTTTTTAAGTCTTTTGCTTACCAAACTTTCTGAGTAGAGCGAGTTCTTCAAATCTGAAAGCTCCACAGAGGTGTGTGTTAATTAATACTGCAGAGTGACTACCACATTCTGTTCCCCTGGAAACCACACTGACTCAAATGCATGCTGGGACAAACATCTGTCACTCCTGAGCTCTTCTCTGGGGCTCTGCTTGGTTTGCTCACACCAGAGGAGCTAGCTGCTGACCTGAAGTCAATTTCTTTGCTGTGCAACCTAATGTGACAGTTAAATATTATGAAAAGTGTTGAAATATGCATGTGGAAAGAGAATTGCTAGTCCTCTAATAGATTAAGTTGAAGGTTTTGGAAATACACACGAAAAACAGGCTGATAAAGCAATTGCTCCCAAATTAGGTGTACGCAAATCGACTTTTTAAAATACTGCAGAATGGGGTGGGGAGGGAGGAAGAAGGCTTAGAGAAAAGCTAGAGAATCCTGCTTGAAATTACTTTGCTCTTCTCAAAAGAGAGCCACATTGGAAACTGTGGCTGATATATGATGTTTATTTCAAGAAAAATCATACAGAGCTCCTATTAGGAGCTCTGACACTTAAAATAGTGAAAGACTGGCTAAAAAATACCCTTCATATGTTTGATGTTAAAATGTTTCACACATGCATTGCCAATTTTTAATGAGTAAAAGACCTTGATCAATTATAAAAGGGGTACCCAGAAAACATGGTGTCCAGAAAATAGGGAACCATGTAAGAGAGCCAAACACTCGTGGCTCACACCTACAATCCTAGCTACTCAGGATGCTGAGGATTACAGTTTGAAGCCAGCCCAGGCAGGAAAGTCCATGAGACTTTTTTTTTTTTGTCGGTCGTGGGGCTTGAACTCTGGGCCTGGGCGCTGTCCCTCAGCTCTTCAGCTCAAGGTGAGCACTCTACCACTTGAGCTACAGCGCCACTTCCGGTTTTCTGGTGGTTTATTGGAGATAAGAGTCTCACGGTCTCTCCTGCCCAGGCTGGCTTTCAACCGCGATCCTCAGATCTCAGCCTCCTGAGTAGCTAGGATTACAGGCGTGAGCCACCAGCGCCCGGCCCATGAGACTCTTATTTTCAATTAACCACCAGAAACGCCAGAAGCAGATGTGTGACTCAAGTGGTTAAACACTAGCCTTGAGCAAAAAAAAAAAAAAAAGCTCAGGGACAGCACTCAGGCCCTGAGTTCAAGCCACAGATCAGCATTCGTACACATAGCCTGTCTAGTAGAGTTGAAGACATGGACACACCGACTGGAGTGTAAAACAGATCAGGACTAGATAGAACACTGGCAGACAGGATCTTCAAAAGTAGTGTCATGGGGCTGGGAAGGTGGCTCAGTGGTAGAGCGCTTGCCTTGCATGCCTGAGGCCCTGGGTTCGATTCCTCAGCACCACATAAGCAAAAAGAAAAAAAGCCAGAAGTGGCACTGTGGCTCAAGTAGTAGAGCGCTAGCCTTGAGCTGAAGAGCTGAGGGACAGCGCCTAGGCCCAGAGTTCAGGCCCCATGACCGGAACCCCCCCCCCAAAAAAAAGTAGTATCATAATAGACCCTAGGGATAGATTTACTAGTTCAGACAAACAGGGGCTTTGGTAAAGCAGATAGAAAGGCCAAAGGCATGACCATTAGAGCCAGAGGATTTCTTTACTGGCCCTCCCCTCCCATCTTTGCAAATCAAGGGCTTAGACTCACAGCTGCTGCATGGACACCAAGGCTAGCACTCACCTTCTGCCTCTGCTGGATGTTGGCCACCGTGTCAGGCTGAAAGTCCAGCTTGTCCGTGCGGCAGAGTTTCCAGTAGAGGATGATGACGATCACCATGACCACCAGCACCGGGATGACCACGCCCACGATAACCCACAGGTTGTTGCTCTGAGACTCTGGGGACAGTCTCTTCACCCTGTCCACGGCTGCAGACGAGGAAGCAAATGCATCTGACTGCATATGTGTGCTGGACTAAAGGTGCTTCCTCCTATGAGTTAGCCAGAAGGCCTCTGTCGTTCAATTCAAGACAAGGTCACGAGTCACTATCTTCCTTGACAGGAAATGTGGTCAGGCAACACAGAATAGCACATGTGGAATAATACATCTGGGATCACAACTATGCACAGGTGATGTCTCTAAAGGCACATGACCACTTTCATATCAAAGCTAGGTTGAATCTAAATTCTTGGCTTCTAATTCATTCCACTAATCTACTCCTAAATTCTCACTACAGGACATTTGCCTATCAAAAAATGGTACAAACTGGCTGGCACCAGTGGCTCACCCCAATAAATCCTAGCACTCAGGAGGCTGAAATCTGAGAATCAAGGTTCAAAGCCAGCCCACACAAATCCAAGAGACTCTTGTCTTCCATTAACCAGCAAAAAGCCAGAAGTGGAGGTATGGCTCAAGTGGTAGAGTACCAGCCTTGAGCAAAAAAGAATCTAAGTAAAAACAGGTGGCACTGTATTCAAGCTCTAATACTGGCACCAAAAAAAAAAAAGAAGAAGAAGAAGAAGGAAATTTTATCTTACATATATTTTATCGAATTTTTTTGTTTGATTTTGAGTCTTTTGAGAGTGCTTCCCTTTGTAGCCCAGGCTGGTCTTGAACTTAAGAGCCTCCTGCCTCTAACCCTACAAGTACCAAGATTGGGGGTCTCTGCACACCATGTCCAGCCGTAACTATTTTTTTAATGATAAAGATAATCCCTAAGTTTTATAAATAAATACAAGCACTTCACTGTATTTTCCTAACACAAGGCTTATGAACACTGACTTATTTCCTTACTTGTGACTCTCTCTAGATCCTAAAAATATGAGGTATTTTTTATTATTATTAAAAGTTGTGTTTTTTCTTATGTGGTGCTGAGGAATTGAACCCAGGGCCTCAGGCATGCAAGGCAAGCACTCTACCACTGAGCAACCTTCCCAGCCCCGTTGTGTTTTTTCTTAAGCCGGGCGTCTGTGGCTCACCCCTGTAATCCTAGCTACTCAGGAGGCTGAGATCTGAGGATCACAGTTCAAAGCCAGTCCATGAGACTGTACCAGAAAACCAGAAGTGGCGCTGTGGCTCAAGTGGTAGAGCGCTCGCCTTGAGATGAAGAGCTCAGGAACAGCACCCAGGCCCAGAGTTCAAGCCCCATGACCAACAAAAAAAAAGTCTTTCTTTAAAAAAAATTTTTAAGGTGTCAGGTGTCATTTTTTTAATTTGCTTTTTATTATCTTCTTCTGAGTGTCTGTAGGTCTTGGGGCTTGAACTCAGGCCTCAGTAGCATCCCTTAGTCTATTTGCACAAGACTAGAACTCCACCCGAGCCACAACTCTACTTTTGGCTTTTTGGTGGTGAGTTGGAGACAAGAGTCTCAAGGACTTTCCTGCCCAGGCTGGCTTTGATCTACAAGCCTCAGATCTCAGCCTCCTGAGTAGTTATGATTGCAGGCTGAGTCACTGGTGCCTGGCTAAAGCTGTTGTTTTTAAAAACACTGATGGGTCTCTCCTCCATTTTCTTCACAAAAAGTATTTCAATACTCTCTGATGCTGGCGTTATTTTCTCATCCCTTTACTGTGGGGAGCAAGTTTCACCATGCTCTTACAAAGAACACTCTGGGTTACAGAGGAAAGCCATCCAAATGGAAGCAGCAGGCAGAGTCACTAAAGGCAAATGTAGAGGAGTATGTTCTACCATGCCTCTTCCTGTTCTTCATATTAAATATGTACCCAACAAATCTGAGGGTTGAAAAAGAGGCACTAAGACTAAGCATTGCTAGGCAGGCAGGGACCAAGTACCTTCCAACAGCAATAAAGAAGTAGCAAAACGCCTTTCTAACTTGAGTGGGGAGAGGTTAGGGTAGGGAGTAACAGGATTGAAAAAGGTCAGGATCAAGGACTTCTTTGTGTTGAAAGACCCTGAAGGAAGCCAATAAACCCACAGTGCACCTCCCAACTTCCTGAGTGACTCACTGTCCCCTCAATGTGCACAATGTGACATCGAAGATTCCGAAATAAAAACAGAATAAGCACATTATTTTACCTAAGACAACTTTGTTTTTTAAAGAGACAAAGAAAACAGAAACAAGGAAATGAATATTAACGTTGATATAAGGTACTGTAACATTATACCCCACGAATATGATTGCTAGGGAAGGAAAAACATCAACACAGCCTCAACTACAAGCAATTGAAATCCATTTGAAATCTCAGCAAACAAACCAGACTGGCCTTTTAGCTAAGTGTCACTTCATAATAAAGCTTTATTTTCTTCTATTTTTCTTTTTTAATGCCAGTACTGGGGCTTGAACTCAGGATCTCACACTCTTGTTTGACTTTTTGGCTCAAGGATGGTTGCTTTTAAAAACATCAGAGCCATAGCTCCACTTCTGGTTTTTTGGTGGTTAACTGGGGAGAAGAGTTTTGTAGACTTTTCTGCCTGGGCTGTCTTAGAACCTTGATCCTCAGATCTCAGCCTCCTGAGTAGCTAGGATTACAGGTGTGAGCCACCATCACCTGGCTATAATAAGGGTTTAAGACATAGTTTACCATACACACATCAGAAAGCTGGAAATTCAGAGCTCACTGTTGTAACTCACTGCCTCTGGAGCCCAGCACACAGCCCAGTTGATATACACTTACGCTGGGCAATTGCGCCTTGAATTCGGTACCCCAGGATAATGGCTGCTCTTTGAAGGTCTATCTTGTTGATCAGATCTGAAGACTTAGCTGCACTGAGTCTCTCTCCATCTTGATCCTCCACGAAGTAGATGAGCTGTACTGGGTTGTCATCTCCCTCCAGCCTGGACACGTTCACCACCTGAGAGACAGCAGAAATCATTAGCACCTAGACACTTCCAATGTGTTCCTCTGGATGATTTGTTCCAGTCCTCATAATAAGCGCCTTATGCCATCCATGGCCCCACAGTCACCATGGTGGCGCTCTGTGGACAGGGAGGACAATCAAAATCAGAGTTCCTCTGTGCAGGATAACAATGGTGCTTTGTCTGGGCCAACCTCATCTCTGGGACAATGGGGCCAGTAGCATACACAGAACATAGGGTTGGCAGGGGTGGGCAGTCTAGGAGAGTGGCAACCCATCGTGTCTTGGGAGGGTGCCACTATGAACCAACTATGAGAGGTTCTACCTCATCTCCTCCTGAATCCGTTAGCATGTCCTCTTCTCAACCTCAGCCCTGTTGGCAATGCAATTCCGAAAGCCAGGTTATGAGTACAATGCTTCTTGGTTGATGTCACCTGTCCTTTCATTCTCCATTTTATCCCTCCCAGCCCTACCTTCATAATGTACATAATGTACATTGACTATAATGACTGCATTTGCTCCTCTTCTTCCTGCCACCCCCTAAAACATGTGACAATCCTTTGACATGGAGAGCATCATAGAATGGTTAGTAGCATCCCTGCCCTCTAGTCAACAGATGCCGGTAGCAACTGCCCCCTCTGGGCTACCTAATGTGACAGTCAAAGTCTCTAGACCATGCCAGATGTGCTAGGGTTGGTGGTCACCACTGAAAACCACTGTACTGGGGTTAAAAAATCCCAGAGACAGAAACTGGATTTCTCCCAGCACCTATCTGCGCATGTTAAAGGGCAGGCCTGCCATTAGTGCTTTCATGCTTCATGTGTCAGTACTGCATGAATATGGCATTTTGTTTGTTGTTGGGTTTTTTCTCTTAATAACATTCAATTATTGGTTGTTCGTTTATATGCCCACAAAACATGGGGTGACATCCCAAGGAGAGGTTTAGTACGGCTTTATTTTGCCCATGCAATGTGAATGCTTTGGCAACTGAGTTTGCCATTGGCAAAACAAAAGTACTATTCCTCTCTTCGTGTGAGAGGATCTGAGGCCTTCCAATGCTCCGTGCACCACAGCCGGACTCCACCTTCACCACAGAAAACTTCTGATAAATCAACAATCCCATGATTTCATGGGGGACTCCATCCGGGTCATGTCTAAGGATCCTTAACAACAAAGGCCCACACCTCACTCTCAACGGCACTCCATATGCTTGTTCCGGAGAAGGCTGTCTAACTGCCCAATGCTGGCAGTTAAAGCCAGTTTCTTGACCACATCTGCTCTCCCAGGATCAACTCCCACCCCATGGCCCTTCTGTGAAGGGCCTACAGAATGCCAGCCTATAGAATAAGGTGGAGTGGAGTGAAATAGAATGGAATGGAGTGAAATGGAAGGGAGTGGAATTAGTGGATTGGAATAGAGGGGAGTATAACTGAATGGAATATAATGAAGTGAAAGAGCAGGAGTGGAGTGAAGCAGAAAGGAATGGAATGGAATGGAATGAAGAGGAGTGGAATAAGTGGAGTAAAATGGAGTGGAAGGGATAGAGTGAAGGAATCAAGTGGAATGGAATGGAATAGAGTGAAGTGGAATAGAATGGAGTGAAGGAGTGGAGTGGAGTGGAATGGAATGGAGTAGAGTGGAATGGAGAGTGGAGTGAAAGCCAGAAGTGAGGCTGTGGCTCAAGTGGTAGAGCACCAATGAGCAAAAAAGCCAAGCAAGAGGGTTAGGCCTTGTGGGCAGGGAGGGAAGGGGAAAATTGGGAGGAAACAAAGGAAGGGGTGACATTGTCCAAAGAAAGAAATGTACTCATTACCTGACTTATGAAGTGGTAAGTCCTCTGTATAATGCCATAAATAGACAATAAAATTATATTTTTTTGAAGTGTCAAGGGTTGGGAATGTGGCTTAGTGCTAGAGTGCTTGCCTAGCATGCGTGAAACCCTGGGCTCCATTGTCCAGTACCACATAAACAGAAAAAGCCAGAAGTGGCACTATGGCTCAAGCGGTAGAGTGCTGGCCTTGAGCAAAAGGAAACTCAGGGACAGTGCCCAGGCCCTGAGTTCAAGTCCCAGCACACACACATGAACACACCAATAGCGCATAATATTCCAATATATGAACACATACTGTTTACCCATCCCCTAATTGCTGAGCATTTGAGTTGGTTCAGTGTTTTCCTATTTACAAATTAAGTCTGAATGAGGAGCCTTGCACTGTTGTTTATTTCTAGAAGTCCCTGCTTGGCACTCAAAGGGGCTAATGATATAATCTGTCACAGGACATCACTACCTGGGCTGGCTTGGTGAAGTTTCACAAGTGTGGCATCCCTACCACAGGGAGCTTGCACACCCAATTTAACACCTCATTATGCAGTTTTTATGGTGCTCTATAATTGCTTTATGTGCATAAATCAACCCACACTGAGATCTTAGAAGCCACCAGTTGTGGAATAAGACAAAGCTTATGTAATTCATTTTCATGGTTGGTCTTGGTTTAATGTTTATTTTTCAAGTACTCTGAATTCATTTGCTTTTAGATAACTATTAGTTTTTAAATTTCTCGATCATTTCAACATGTGGAAAGGGAGCCATTTTAGAAACCTAAAGAACCACATTTCAGGAGAGGAGGGCAAAGGTCAGGGCTGGAAACATCTGGAGAGGGCTGGAGGACAAGGTGTCCCTTTAAACAACATGCCCCCCCCTGCCCACCTCACGCAGCTGTGGCGTCTTTTTCTCTTGGCCTCTACACCAACCTCTTCCCACCCCACCGACAGCCCTACCCCAGCGCTTGAGTTTCACCCTGGCTGTTTCCAAAATATCATACCTCAAAATGCCACATTTTCTTAGCCCTCTCAGTCAGCAATTAGTAAAGATAAAAATTCATATCATTCACATAAGAGACAGCAATAAATACCAGCACCAGCATCCAAATTAGTGAACAGTACTAAGTACATGCATTGAAAAATGGGTCCCTTCAGTTCCAACAAAACTGGCTTTTGAATTGTCTGCCAGCCTACCAACCAAAGTGAAGAAGACTTGGGGAGAACAGGAGACAACAGGATTGGATGAAATACTTGGGGCTGGGAAGGTGGCTCAGTGGTAGAGCGCTCGCCTTGCATGCATGAGGCCCTGGGTTCGATTCCTCAGCACCACATAAGCAAAAAGAAAAAAGCCGGAAGTGGCGCTGTGGCTCAAGTGGTAAAGCACTAGCCTTGAGCTGAAGAGCTGAAGGACAGCGCCCAGGCCCAGAGTTCAGACCCACGACCCCAAAAAAAAAAGAAAAAAAAAGAAGATGAAATATTTAAATCAAGAGTAGCGAGGGTAGCTTCTTTCTTCTCACTCTTAAAAGAGTATTCCAGATTCTATCACGCCATCCATGATACTTGCCATTCCACAAAATAAGCTAAACTTTTGGTAATTAAAAAAAAAAAACCCTAATGTTTTAAAAGTAAAAGCCAGGCATGGCAGCTCATGTTTATCATCCCCCAACTACACAGGAGGTAGAGATAACAGGATCCTGGTCTGAGGGGGGGGTTTGGGGAGGGGGGGGGGGGAGGGGGGGAGGGAGGGCCAGGCCAAAGCTTGAGACTCTGTCTCAAAAACAAGCTTCAATAAAGAGGGCTGGGAGGTGGTGGCTCACACCTATAATCCTAGCTACTCAGGAGGCTGAGATCTGAGGATCGCAGTTCAAAGCCAGCCTGGGCAGGAAAGTCCAAGAGACTCTTATCTCCAATTAACAACCAGAAAACTCAAGTGGTAGAGCAGTAGCCTTGAGCTGAAGAGCTGAGGGACAGCGCCCAGGCCCAGAGTTCAAGCCCCACGACTGACCAAAAAAAAAAAAAAAAAAAAAAAGGAAGGCTAGGGCTGTGGCTCAATAGAGCACTTGCCCAGCAAGCATAAGGCCAAGTTCAATTCCTAGCACAGCAAAAAGAAAGAAAAGGAACAAACAAACAAACAGAAAGAGGACACGTGATCATTCAGGAGCCCAGCCCCAATGCTGATGACCAAGGACTAGTGTCAGGCCAACCCCTTGCTATAGGACTCGGTCAATAGTTGTCTGGACTCCAGTTGACACAGTCAACTGCAAACTCCATAGGGATGGGTCCACATTAGAACTTTCTCCCGGCATCCCCCAGGTGCGTGACAATGGCAGGTTTTAGGGCTCTCTCGCAGGCTCTCCTCCCCTTGCTGGTATACCTGCACCACGCTGTTCCCAGAAGCCACCGTGGCCCTCCTCCACAGGCGCCTTCCGGTGGGCACCTCGCTCAGCAGCTGGGCCAGCTTGCGCTCCATCTCAGCCGGAAACACTTCGTTCTGGAGCTGCTTCTCCACCACACCCAGAAGGACTGCATTGAATAGGAAACACATAGCACCCCAAGCAAGTCAGATGGGGAAGGAAGTGTATTGCATGTGTGTGTGTGTGTGTGTGTGTGTGTGTGTGTGTACGTGTACATGTGTGTGAAATTCATATGAAATCACTATGCAATGCCAATTCCTACAGAGATGTGAAAGGGTATGCTTGATTCATGCCTGTAAATCCTAGCTATTCAGGAGGCTGAGATCTGAGGACTGAGGTTCACAATCAGACTGAGCAGATAAATTCTAGGCACTCATCTCCAATCAGCCAGCAAAAAGCCAGAAGTGAAGATGTGGCCAGCTTTGAGTATAAAAGTCAAGCAAGAACTCAAGGCCCAGCCAGGCTCTGGTGGCTTCCACTTGTAATCCTAGCTACTTAGGAGACTGAGATCTGAGGATCAGGATTCAAAGCTAGCCAAGTGGGGCTGGGAATGTGGCTTAGTGGTAGAGTGCTTGCCTAGCATGCATGAAACCCTGGGTTTGACTCCTCAGTACCACATACACAAAAAAAATCCAGAAGTGGCTCTGTGGCTCAAGTGGTAGAGTGCTAGCCTTGAGCAAAAACAAGCTCAGGGGCAGTGCCCAGGCCCTGAGTTCAAGCCCCAGGACTGGCAAAAAAAAAAAAAAAAAAAAGCTAGCCAGGCAGAAAAGTTGAGGGACTCATCTCCAGCAAAAAGCTAGAAGTGGAGCTCAAATGGTAGAGGACCAACCTTGAGGACAAAAGTTCAGGGACAGCACCCAGATCCTGAGTTCAAGACCTATACCAGAACCAAAAATGGGGTTCAAGGGATTATGTTAAAATATGCTAGGAGGAAATATTAAGAGGCAATATTAAAAGTGGCCCAAACAATTGGCTGGGGAAAGGAAGGGCTAGAGAACTGACACTCTGGAGTCCAGGTCAAAAGTCCCAGGAACTCAGCCATGAATGAGCTGAATGAGATGAAGGATGCCCACAGAACATCAAACACGTGATCTACCTGCGCTTATCTCAAAACTTCTGAAAATAGCAGGAGTTCCTCTTTGGTCTTAAGAATTGGATTCACCCATTAACTGGAAGAAAGAGAATCTGCCTGTCTTCTCTTATCTGCATTGAACAAGATTATCTAGACAGACAATCAGTTTATCAGCTGGGTCCAGAACTGGTTTCAATCCTTGCAACCTTGGCCAAGTCAATTAATCACCTTGAAGGCTAGAACCTGCGGCCCCAAGAGAAGAGGTGAACCCGTCCATGGAACGCTGTGAAGAACCTCCAGGGCCTGAGAAGCCCAGAAATGGTGACTGTAGCTCTTTTCTGGTGAGCGGTGGCTGAGCAAGGTGTAGTTGGGAGGAGGGGGCTATTTGGATCAGGTTAGAAAGCCATTTTTAATCAGGCATCTGTGGCTCATGCCTGTAATCCTAGCTACTCAGGAGTATGAGAACTGGGGATCACAGTTCCAAGTCAGCCTGGTCAAAAAAAAAGGCCTTGAGACTTTATCTCCAATTAACCAGCAAAAGGGAACTGGAGGCATGGCTCAAGTGGCAGAGCACCCCTATGAGTGGAAAAAGCCAAGCGAGAATGCAAGGCCCTGAGTTCAACCACCAGTAATGGCACCAAAACAAAAAAACCTGTTTATTTTGCAACGTTCTCAGAGGGCTAAAAAAAAAGCCTCTGCTAGCCACGCCAGCCCACCATCCTGCAGCTTACTGCCCAAGGGAGGATCTTTCCTGTTTTAGACAAGTCCACCACAATTGCTTAAAGGGAGGAGGAAAAGGGAGAAGGCCAAGCTCAGTATCCTGCGGACACCGCCCAAGAGAGGGCTTTGCCTGTTTCAAACACACCAATAAGGAGGAGAAAAAAGAAGGGGTAGGAGCTACAGCCCAGGACCACTCATTCTTCTGAATGGCCTCCACTTTTCCCTCTGTTAAATAAAGTCTTTGTTACCTTACTATATACTGTAACTGCCCTCTCTGTTCCCGGCCTTTCCTTCTATACTGCTGGAGTAGGAGAACCCACCCCCACGCTCCCACACCAGTTCTTGCTCCATGTGTGTGACCCAGGCCCCCACGCTACCTTACTTTCTTTATAAAACCAAACAAATAACATTCAAGGAAAATGTTATTCACCCCCAGTGCTGGGCCAGGAGACAGCTGATTCATTAGATCATGTCCTAGACTTGAAGGAAGAATTCTAAAGAAGGTCAATCTTTTTTTTTTGGTGCCATAACTCAGTGGGATGCATTCCCACAGCCCAATTTGAATCTCTTCCTCATTCATTCTTTGCCAAGATTTAAAGTACATTTTGCCCTGAATTTAGAAAACAGGAAGGGTGTGTCCTCAATATGCCTGCACAGACTTCTTACTCTTACAGTTCCCAAAAATATTACCAAAGTTAAACATACCTGTTCTGACCCAAGAAGACTTCAATAACTGAGACAGGTTGAGCTGTGGGTACTGGAAAGCTGCAAGAGAGTCGGGAGGGGAGAAACATCTGTAAGACACACATCTGTATCGGTCAGAAAGGCAAGTGTCCGAGGAAGCACTGGGTAAATTACAATGCATGCTTTCACCTTCCCTTGCTATTGCACTCTTGAATTTGGCCAGCAAAATGCCAGATGAGTATAAAGACACAGACAGCAGTTGATAAGGATGCTTGTCTCCAGGACAACAGCAGATAGAGGAAAGAAAGGACTCATCCCAGGCCCAGCACAGATTTGGCTTCCCAAAGAGATCAGCCACTCCCTAATTCTCCCACAAATAGCAGTGCTCCAGGGCAAAGTGCTCACACACTGCACTTTCAGAACTCTGGGTTTCCCAGTCATTCATAACTCAGGGCAAGTGACCTCAGCTCCTGATTTGTCCCAGCACAATCCTGTTTGCATCTGTATAGTCCTGGTCTTGCACACTGTGCAAAAATAAAAGTTGGTACCTGTAAATAACAGCTTTATTCCTAGCCACTGCTAGGCTTTACAGATTATTCTTCATAATCAACAATAAAGGCAATACAGTGGCTCCATTTTGACAAAAATTTGCCTTTTTTTTTTTTTGACTTGACTTCAACTCCAGAATCTTCTTTTTTTTTTTTTTTGGTAGGTCACGGGGCCTGAACTCTGGGGCTAGGAACTGTCCATCAGCTCTTCAGCTCAAGGCTAGCGCTCTACCACTTGAGCCACAGCACCACTTCCGGCTTCTTCTGCTTATATGATACTTAGGAATCAAACCCAGGGCCTCATACATTCAAGGCAAGTACTCTACCACTGAGCCACCTTCCCAGCCCCAGAATCTGCTATCTTTTAAAGTAAACTTTCCCCCATTCTTCTCAACCATCTCCATTTGCACTGGGAATCTAATGGCCTAAGCCAGGAAGAAAGGGTTTGTTTTCATTTCATTTTGTTTTTGTTTTAGTCAGTACAGAGTAAAATCCACTCTTTTTGACATCCAGCGTTAGGGAGTGTGCTAAATGTATAGTTACAAAATCCACCACAATGAAGATACAGGATAATTCATAGTACCCAAACACCTTTGAATGCTCTTCTATAGTCAAACCTCCCTCCCTGTTTACACTGACAGCCACATATCTGTTCCCAATTTCCATATTTTGCCTTTCTAGAATTAGCATTGTGTGTGTGTGTGTGTGTGTGTGTGTGCACTTTGAGCAAAAAAATTGAAAATTATTTACAATTAACCCCTGGTAGCTAATTGTAAATAATAGTGTCATGGACTTTCCGCCTGGGCTGGCTTTGAACCACAATCCTCAGATCTCAGCCTCCTGAGTAGCTACGATTATAAGATTATAGGCATGAGCTACCAGCATCCAGCTAGGATTGGCATACTTTTAAGCAATATCTCATTTGCCTTGAGGGAAAAAACAGAAGCTAGTGGTGCAACTCAGTAAGGGAGCTCTTGCCTAGCATTCACCAGACTCTGCTAGGATCTGCAGAACTGCAACACAAGCAAGGCACAGAGCATGCCGCTCTGGCTGAAATGTGAGAAGTTCCAATTTGATCTGATTTATGCTGATGTTCCATCAAGTAGTTCCTCTGGAAAAAGAGGCTCAGTGAAAAACTACTTCCCATGACAGAATAAAGGCATCACACACTTGTCTACATCTATAGATGCTCACTCAAGGCACAGCTCCAAGATAAACTATGGACTCTGGGTGGTGATGAGTGAGCCTATATGGGTTTACCAGCCACAATTAATGGCCCACTCTAGAGCTGGACGTTGAGATGGGGGATGCTGTGGGGGTCGGAGAAGGAAAAGGGGACATTTCAGTACCTCTAGATTCCAGTTGCTGTAAACCTGAAATTGCTTCAAATCAAATCCCTGTATAAAATTTAAAATGGGCTGGGCACTAGTGGCTCCTGTCCACCATCCTAGTTACTGTCTACATCCTAGCCACCCCAGGCAGAAAAGTCCGTGAGACTCTTATCTCCAAATATCCATCAAAAAGCTGGAAATGGAGCTGTGGTTTAAGTGGTAGAGCTCCAGCCTTGAGCAAAAAAAGGCTAAAGAGAACATGAGGCCCTGAGTTCAAGCCCCAGTACCATCATACACGTATACACACACACACACACAAACACACTCACACAAACACAAATTTTAAAAAATTTTTAAAAGAGATCCTCCATCAAAAATACCCACCGCCACTTCCCCAGCTCCTCCAAGGAGCTCAGTACTCACGCTCTGCAATCTGCAGCACCGGGTACCCCAGATAGAAGCTGAATTCCACCACACTCAGGTTCCTGAGCAGCTCGCTCACCTCTGACCCATTCAAAAATCCTTGTGTGCCTCTAACAGCAAAGATAATATTCACTGGGCCCCGCCGAGGAGCCATCCTCGAAGAACCAACAGTCACGTTCAAGATCTGGAGTTTAAAAAAAAAGTCAAAAGTTTTTAGAATAAATTTAAACGTTCAGCTGAAAACAATTGAAATTGACTAAGGTTTCTCTCATACAGGTTCTCTCTCTCCTCCCCGGTTTTCTTTTATTTTTTTTTTTTTTTGGGGGGGAGGGTGGTACCAGTACCAGGACTTGAACTTAGGGCCTGAGTACTGTCTCTTAACTTATTCACTCAAAACTAGCACTTTACCACATGAACCACAGCTTCACTTCAGGCTTCTTAGTGGTTCATTGGAGATAAGAGTCTCATGGGCTTTGCCTGCTGGAGGTGGGCAATGGCTTTGAGCCATAATCCTCAGATCTCAGCCTCTTAAGTAGCTAGGATTATAGATGTGAGCCACCAGTGCCTGGTGAGATTTTAAAAGAAAAAACTTTTTTAAAGGAAGAATAACTGTCTTTCTAACCTGGTTCCTTCCTGCAGCATTTCCCCCTAAGTGTTTTTTGCATGAAATGCTGAGCTGACCTTGTGGATTTCTTTCCCTTCAGCCTCTGTCACCCACCCCAAATCCCACTGAAACAACAATAAGGAGACTAAAGCTCTGATGATGAAACAGGGAGAGAATCATATTGAAACAAGAAGGAAAGAAACCAATACCCACAAACACACAGGTACACACAGGCACACACCAAAAGCTGAGCTGGGAGTCACTGTTTCCCCAGGTCCAGGCCCCGTGGGGAAGAGCAGAGGACCAGAGACCAAAAGTAGCTATGGAACAAGAATTAGACTAATCAATTAAAAGCCTGAATCCCAAAGAGCCAAGTTCATTGCCTTTCTCCTCTTCTGCTCCTAATGGCTACATCCAGGTGCTAGCAGCCACCCCAACTCCCAGAACAGTCCGGAGAACTGGATCCTAAGAGAAAAGAGTCACTGCCCCAGGGGAATAAAAGGCTTCAAACCCTATGGCAAGAAAGAGAGAAAGGCAGTAATAACTCAAGTGCATACCGGGTCATGCAAAAGACAAAGCAGGACTGCAAATGAAAGGAAAAGAGGCTTTTTCATAACACACACCCTCTCCCTCTCCTCCCTCTCCCTCTCCCCCACCCCCCACAAACAGAAGGGGAAAAGTGGACCAACTTCCAAAATAAATCTGGTTCTTCATCCCTAACAAACAAATAACTACCAACAATAGTCTCCAGACACTTAATGGAAAACTAGCTGCATAAAAACAAGGGATAGAAGTCAATACAGTTGCAGAGAAAACTGACATAATGTAGGCAATAACAGGCAAATTCAAAAACCCTAACTCATGACATCAGAGACTCTGAAGGTGATCCTATATTATCTCAGGAAAGGAGCAAAGATGAATGAGGGGAAAAATGACTACTAAAAAAAAAAATCTCAGTAGAGAGATTGAATAATTTCACAGACACCATGATAGACTGAATTAGTGACTGCAAAGATACAGTTTAGGGAAATCTGTAAAAGCAAAGAATTGAAAGATAAGTAAAATATGAAGAACTAAGAAACATGAAAGTACATGCAGGAAAAGTCTAGTTAATTTATAATCCAGAAAGAGAAGAGTCTGGAAGAGGGAAAAATAAAAGATCAAAGAAATAGCCAGGCACCAGTGGCTCATACCTACAATCCTAGGTACTCAGGAGGCTGAGATCTGAGGATTGTGGTTCAGGAAAGTTCATGAGACTCTAATTTCCAATAAACCACCAGAAAACCAGAAGAGGTGCTGTGGCTCAAGTGGTAGAGCACTAGCCTTGAGCTGAAGAGCTCAAGGACAGTACCCAGGCCCAGAGTTCAAGCCCTATGACTGACAAAATAAAAAATAAATAAAAAGACAAAAGAAATACAGAAATATCAGCAGTTTGCACACAATATCTGCAGCCAGTTCTTTGAAGAGAATCCTTTTCTATGTTTAGGCTGTGTCCCACAACATTTCTACAATACAGGTGGAACATGCCTAATCTAAAAACCTCATCAGTTCCAAACTGGAACCTCAGCAGAGCAACAGTGAGCATGCTCAAAGCCAAGCGCTGGAACCTCACGGCTGTAATGCTACCTACTCAGGAGGCTGACAACTGAGGATCGAAATTCAAAGCCAGCCTAAGCAGGAAAGTCCAAGTAGCCGCTCAAAGTGGTAGAGTGCTAGCCTTGACCACAAAAGCTCACGGACAGCATCCAGGCCCTGAGTCCAAGCTCTAATACCAACACACACACACACACACACACACACACACACACACACACACTCATACACACACAGAGTTTTGGATTCTGAGTCATTTCAGATTCTCAGATTAGAGAAGCTCAACCAGTCAGGTCTCTGCAAATATTCTGAAATCCCAAAACTCCCAATTCTGATCCTAAAAACACTTCAGATAAGGCATAATCAACTTCCACGAAAACCATAGTCCTCCGCCAGCTGTTTAGCCTGAATGCTATTAACTCTCCTGTATGAGGTCTCCTGTGGTCAGCTCATCATATCTGAGCTCTCTGGTCATCAGCTACTCAAGCACTGCTTCCAGCGCTACACAGTCCCTTTGTGTTATCTAGACTCTGCAGCACAAGATGCGATCAACCCCGGTCCACACCAACTGGGCTTTTTCCACTGGTGGGGCAATAAGACATTATAGAAGAAGTCTTGCTGTTGTGTTGTGGGCAAGATCCTTTTACCTGCACCGTGAGGTTGTAGGGGGCTGGATGATGTTTTCTCACTTCAAAGAGTGCCGTCATCAGACCTTTCTCAATGCGCTGGGTGAAGTTGCAAAAACCAGTATCCACACTTGGAGGCACAAACTGAAGCACTGAAAGGACAGTAATCAAAGTCTCATGAAAGAGATGCAGTTTAAGAGTTAGGAGATCAAAGTCAGGCACTGGTGGCTCACACCTGTAATCCTAGCTACTCAGGAGGCTGAGATCTGAAGATCGCAGTTCGGCCAGCCTGGACAGAAAAATCCCCATGAGACTCTTATCTCCAATTAACCACCAGACAACTGAAGTGGAGTTGTGGTTCAAAGGGGCAGAATGATCCTTAGCAAAAAAACAAAAAACAAAAAAGCTCAGAGATAGCCCCAGGCCCTGAGTTCAAGCCTCAGGACCAACCAAAAAAAAAAAAATTTTTGGTTAAAGAATTAAGAGATGAAGACAGGAAAAAAATATCTAAATCAACAATTTCATCCATAGTATGGGGCTGACCATGATGAAAGATTATTTCTTTCTTTCAGATAAATCTTTTAAAATATGCATTTAATTAACTCCCAGTAATTGTATGTATTGACGGGGATTGTGTGACATTTCAATACATGTATACAATATGTAACAATCAGCCGGGCACTGATGGCTTGCATCTATAATCCTTGTTAATCAGAAGGCTGAGATCTGACCATCACAGTTTGAAGCTAGCCTGGGAAGGAAGTCTTTGAGACTCTTAACTCCAATTAGCCAAAAAAAGCCCTAAGTGGAGCTGTGGCTCAAGTGGTAGAGAACTCATCTTGAGTCAAAAAGTTCAGGGACAGCACCCAGGTATAGTGTTCAAGCCCCAGGACCAGCACACACATGAAAAAGTTTTCCTTTCAGGACATAGCATCCTGTTCTGTGGTCAGTGATGATATCCTTACTGGCAAGAAGGATAGCACTTTTGAAGAAAAGGCAAAATACAAAGATGGGGAACAGATGTATGTGTCTAACAGTCCTTAAATTTTTAAGGTTTAGGCTAAATTTTTTCTTTTTTTTTTTTTATTTGCCAGGCCTGGGGCTTGAACTCAGGGCCTGGGCCCTGTCCCTGAGCTTCTTTTGCTCAAGGCTAGCACTCTACCACTTGAGCCACAGCACCACTTCAGGCTTTTTCTGTGTGTATGGTACTGAGGAATCGAACCCAGGGTTTCATGCATGCTAGGCAAGCACTCTACCACTGAGCCACCTTCCCAGCTGAAAACTTAAGAGTAATGATATGGTCTCTGAGAGTCAGTGTAGAGCAACGTGACAGGGCTGTAACCATAATGTGCCTGGGAAAGAGCTGAAAATGGATGAAACTCTATGGTGTGTACCCGGGAGGGTCATTAAACTACTCCTTCTGCGTTTGTGTTTTAGGTTTTTTTTCCATTACTATCAAGTTTTCTTAAAATTAAATAATAGAGCCAGGTATGGCAGCGCATGCCTGACCCAGCGGGCTAAGGCAGGAGGATCATTCAAGTTCTAATCCATCCCGGAAAGTACAGCAACACATCTCAAAACAAATGGAGGTAGGGGGAAAACAAAGGAGGAGGTAATGATGCTCGAGAGGAAATGGACTCATTACCTTACTCATGTAACTGTAAACCTTCTGTACAGCATCTTTACAATAAAAAAGTTTTGGAAGTGGCGCTGTAGCTCAAGTGGTAGAGCGCTCGCCTTGAGCTGAAGAGCTGAGGGACAGCGCCCAGGCCCAGAGTTCAAGCCCCACGACCGACAAAAAAAAAAAAAAAAAAGTTTTTAAAAATAAATGGAGGAATGGATGGATAGATGAACAGATGGACAGACAGACTAGTACATTTTAAAAACAATACCCAATCTCTTAAAAATTAAGAAACAGGGCTGGGAAGGTGGCTCAGTGGTAGAGCACTTGCCTTGTATGCTTGAGGCCCTGGGTTCGATTCCTCAGCACCACATAAGAAAAAAGCCGGAAGTGGCGCTGTGGCTCAAGTGGTAGAGTGCTAGCCTTGAGCTGAAGAGCTGAGGGACAGCTCCCAGGCCCAGAGTTCAGGCCCCACGACCGGACCCAAAAAATAAAAAAATAAACATAAAAATTAAGAAACAAAATTCTGCCTACTAATCAAAACCACCATACTCAGTGGTGTCTCTCACCTGTTTGAACTTGGAACCTGGACTCAGGTACGAGGAAGGAAGGTCTCACAGACAGGATTAAAGGAGTTTGGTCTCGGACAAGTTTACTATTGATGAGGACATTAATGACTGATATTGCCGTGTAAACAAAAGGTCCAGATGTTACCAGGAATGTGAAGTCAGGGAATAGTTCATACACCTAAGGAAAGAAGACATTAAAGATAACTCAAAGGAAGTTGTGCTGAATAGAAAAATAATAAATTAGGTAAAAGAAAGTATCAGTACTTGAAGTAAAAGAGTAAATGATACATAATCAAGATTTAATTTTATCTATTCCTTTTATATTCTTCTCAAAACCATGTGGAGGAGCAAGGAGAAAACTGAATAATGAGTTATGGAAAAATCAATATGTTTGCTATACTTAAACCACACAGAAAAGAGAACTCATTCTACTGAGTATCACTGTCCAAAATAAACAGAATGGGAGCCCCCTATGCAATAGTAAGAATTCCAGCGGATACATTAAAAACACAAAGACAGGTGAAATTAAACTTGAAATATTTCATCTAATATATCTGAAACATCTTAAACATGTAGTCAACACAATACAGGTGGACCCATTGCAACAATGAGATGAATAAGTCGTTATGTCGAAAAATGAACTTTACAACTTTGGTGTGGGGGTGGGGGGGGTAAGCGGGAAGGATGGGAGGGCGGGGGGGAGATGGGAAGGGGAAACAAAGGAGGAGGCTACAACGCTTGATAAGAAATGTACTCATTATCTTGCCCATGTAATTGTAACCCCTCTGTACAGTATTTTCACAATTAAAAAAAAACAAAACATGTAGTCAATACAAAAAATTATTAGTAGCTGAGTGCTGGTGGCTCACACCTGAAACCCTAGCTACTCAGGAGGTTGAGATCTAAGGATTCCAGTTCTAAGCTAATGTGAGATCTGATTAGTTATCGCCAAATAACCAATAAAAAATCAGAAGTAGAGATGCATGCAGCTCAAGTGGTAGAACTTCAACCTTGAGTAAAAAAGCTAAGTGAGCAAGCTAGGCCCTGGAATTCAAGCTCCAGTACCAACATACATACACATACACACACACACACACACACACACACACACAGAGACACACACACACACACAAATATATTAATGCACACACACATACACACACACACACACACAAATATATCAGTGACTGGCTAGAGTATGTAACTCAGTGGTTAAGTGCTCGCCTATGCACAAAGCACTGCAATAACATTCCCAGCACTGCAAAAACAAAAACAAAACAAAGCACTTCTTTGTGGGACATGCCTTTTCTCTGCATTTCCGAAAGGTGCTGTGTAGCAACCTCAGTGCACCTGAGCCCACAGCCACCGTGATGCATGGCTAGAGTGGGCCTAGCTCCGGAACTCCTCTGGGCGCAGGCTCCCATCATGGGGTCCAGTATAAACAATGCAGAACTCCATTTCTCTCACTGGTGTGCAAAAAGATATGTGGACTCAAACCTGAGTCCTATCATGGAAATCAAGGGAAGCAAAACCATTTAGGTCCTCATCCCAAACCATATTCTCTGGATTGAGAGTCTTTGGTTCCAGCTCTGCCAACACATAACCCCCTTCCCCCCCTCCATTAGACAAAACCAGAGCCTGTCTGAGATCAGGACAGTCTCCCCTGATAGAATGATGCTTGCTGGAGATGGAGAGAATGGCAAGTGAACCAGGGAGGTATGATACAGAGGAAAGAGAGTGACTGGACAGCTGGGGCCACCTGTTGCCACATCCAGTCTGCCCAACGAGAGACTCACCTTTAGCTCCACTGCCCTGCTGAAGTGGATCCTCAGCACTTCCTTAATTGACGTGATGATGTACTCCTGCACCGCCCGACGGGCCAGCACTGCAAATGAAATCCAACCACCACATGTGTTTTAGTGCCACGATGAAGAAGGATGGTATCCCGCTTCTGGACCACAGAGTGACGCCACGGCGTGTTTTGTAACACAAGACCCACACTAACCACAGCAGAAGAGTCCAAGCTGGCCAATACTAGAAGGAACAGCTGTGGGGACTGGGGACTTGAAGATGCCAGGTAAGCAAGCACAGCATGAGCACAAAGTCTCTGACCCTGGTGCCTCAGATCAGGAAGCAGCTGCTGTAACCCAGCCAGGAGACAAAATGCTCCCGGTTCCCATTTTCCTCTTATAGTTGTCCAGCTGTGTACAATCCCCCAGAGCCAACAGTAGAGAGGGAGACCTCCAGACCACACTTACCCCTCACTAAATGACCATGGTCATATGACTCCCTCAAAGTCCCTCATGAACTAACTCTGGTCTCCAACTGAGCTCCATAGAAAGGCAGGAGCATGGCTCAAGTAGTAGAGCACCCAAGTCCAATTTCCCCAGTACCACATGCACACAAATCACTTCAAACCCCTCTCTGAACTCACTGACAGAAAACTACTAAAAAATGAGAAACAGACCTGAGAGACAGTGGCTCACACCTATATCTTAGCTATTCAGGAAGCTGAGAGCTAAGGACATGGTTTGAAGATAGGCTGGGCAAGAAAGTCCAGGAGATGCTTATCTCCAGTTAACCATCAAACACCAGAAGTAAAGCTATGACTCAAGTAGAAGAGTGCTAGCCTTGGGGCTGGGAAGGTGGCTCAGTGGTAGAGTGCTTGCCTTGCATGCATGAGGCCCTGGGTTTGATTCCTCAGTACCACATAAACAGAAAAAACTATAAGAGGTGCTATGAGCTCAAGTGGTAGAACGCTGGTCTTGAGCTGAAGAGCTGAGGGACAGAGCCCAGGCCCAGAGTTCAAGCCCCACAACCAACAACAACAACAAATGAAAAAGCTCAGGGACAGTGCACAGACTTGGAGTTCAAGCCCCATGCCCAAAGAGAGAGAGAAGAGAGAAGAATAAAGAAAGGAGAAATCAAGTATCCTAGAGACAAAATTATACAGAAAAGCAAAAGAATAGTAAGTTAATAAGAGAAATTCTAAGGGTTGTCCTAATTCAATTGCCAACTCTCTGGTTGAATTAAATAAGAATGTTTTTCACTTCAATCATGCCATCTATGCAAACACTCAAAACCCTAGGAAAATTTTCTATGGCTCATTAAAAATCTCTTATTTGTCCTTATTGCAACTACAAACTAACATGCAATATTTTGTGTATACCTAGATGCCATGTTCAGACTAAACACTTTTTTTTGTCAATCGTGAGGCTTGAACTCAGGTCCTGGGCACTGTTCCTGAGCTTTGTCACTCAAAGCTAGTACCCTACCACTTTGAGACACTGCTCTACTTCTGGTTTTCTGGTGGTTAATTGGAGATAAGAGCCTCACAAACTTTCCTTCCCAGGCTGCCTTCAAACTGTGATCCTCAGATCTCAGCCTCCTGAGTAGCTAGGATTACAGGCGTAAGCCACCATCTCCTGGCCCAACTAAACATTTTACATGCATACATGCATATCTTTATAATAACATCATGAATGCAAATCTTTACAATAAGGCCGTGCAGCAGATGTCACTTTCATCCTTGGAAGACAGAGGAATAGTGTAGGTAACTGGAGAGTTCACAGAAGGCAGGCAGAGGAGAAGGATCACTATGGGAGGTTCTGTGAGACCACTGTCTGCACTCCTAGCTATAATGGTCTGCCCCAGAAGGCCTTCACATGAGCATCTTAGCAAGACCTCCTACCCCACAGAGATGAGGAGACGCAGTCTTACCAGTTGTGATCAAGTAAGCGTCCGGAACTGTAATATCACACACATACGGTGGCTTGGTGGTGACCAATGTTGGGATCCCCACTGTTGCTTCAGGAATGGAGGTGGTCCAGGGACCGAAGGATGGCAGAGGAGGAGCTACACTGCTCCCCTCGGGGTTCTCACTTACACGATCACTGTTGGGGCCAGTGTCTACTGCATCCTCTATGGCAACAGTGGTACTGGGCGTGCTTGGCGCAGGGGAGGAATTTGGGAAGAAATCTGTGGGTGTGGAGGATGGACGCATGGGGATTGTCTCTGTAGGCAAAGGGGAGGGACTCAACTCAGGAACCAGTGAGGAGACAGATGACAGGGTCACATGGGTCAACAACTCTGTACTGCTGGGAGTAACTTTGGAGGAGGGGAAGCCCAATGTGTGCGCATCTGTAGTGTGGATATGGCTATTGGAAGGTGTCAAAGTTGAGGATAGAAAAGACTCCATAAAAATGGGTGTCCAATGGGAAGAAGGAGACATGGGCAGGAAATAAGTCTCGGTAGAAGAGAGGTCGAGAACAGGCTCAGAGCCGGTGGCGAGCACGAATGTGATGAGTTCAGATTCGTGGGGAATGAGAGGAAACTCAGAAGTGGAGGTAGTTTCAGTAAAAGCTGAGGTAAAATGAGCATCTGACTCCATTGGCAAATTGGTCGATGCTTTGGTGAACTTGAGAGAGTTCCAGGGGGAGCTTGAGAGTAATGGCGATGCGGCGGAGAGGTTCCATAGAAAAGTGACTGTGTTGAAAGCCACCTCTGAACTTGGCCAGGGCTGAAGAGACTCCAGGTTTGAGGAATTCAGAACAGAAAGTGGAGATGACTGCGAGCTGACAGACAATGTAAGAGTCTCAACCAGGGTGGGGAAGGTCTGCAACTTGAAGGCGGACAGATCACTTGACATCCCAGAGGGAGAAGCAAGACCCTCTGAAGTAGAAGGGCCTGGGCTGCTGAGCTCCAGAGGTGGGGTTGAATAAAAGCCCGATCCATGTTCAAAAACACTGGTAGATTCTTGGTCAGACATATGTATAGACTCCACTAAGCCAACCAAACTATAAGAGGTCAGCGGGGTTGGGTCTCTGCCAGCATTTGATGGAGTATTTTGGTTGGACGTGACTGAGAAAAACAAGTCAAGGGAAATACTCGGGACCACAGAGGGAAACACAGCTGTCACACTGAATGGTGTCTCTTGGGCCTGGGTGACAGAGGAAGAGTCCAAAGCAGGATCGGGTGACACAGATGGGGAGAAGCGGTCATGGAGAGGGGACCCCTGGGTGGTGGTAACAGTGTCCACATCCACCCTAGCTGACATGCCAGAGCTTGAGTCTAAGGTGTCCACAGATCTGGAAGAAAGGGACAGAACAGGCCTGGAGGGGAAAAGCGTATTAAACTCTTGAGGATTTTCTTCAAATGCAGAGAGCTCTGCACCCACACTGCTCCACGGAGAGTGGCTTCGGTCCACCGTGGCTGTGGTCATGGTCTCTGGCTCATCTCCTGACCCCAGGTCTTTCCCCGTAAGACTCGTGGCCAGACCTGGCTGAGGTGACATCTCAGCACAAGACGTGCACCAAGTGTGCGGTCGGAGAGCGGCCACTGGGCTCAAGACACACGCGTCATCCACACAAGGGGAGACCACAGAACTGCCAGGCAGTTCAGACACGTCGCCAGCACTGCTCGAAAGGAAGGGGCTGTGGGACACATCCGCTGACTGGCTAGCAGAGGACACAAATGCCAAAGAGTCTGAAAATAAAGCAAAAGGTATGCTGCTCAAAGCAGGGGCTGTCCGCGACACAGTTACAGTGGGATACACTTTTGGAGGGGTGGTTTCTTCTAGATGTTGACTCCAAGCAGAGGTCCTAGCCGGATACCGATCTGTGCTCGTGGCCAGGACATCTTCTAGAGGCGGCGAGACCTCCCTCGGGGGGACAGATGGCTGTTGAGTCATGCCATCGCCTGACGGCTGAGGCATCAAAGATGGGATGCTAAAAAGGAGAGTTGCTGCCTCCTCCATTACTGAAGCTGAAAATTCTGGCAAAGTCCTACTTGATAACTGGCTGTGAATTTCAGGAGTAGGATAAAGCACCACATTCCTACTAGGAGTTGGCATGAAGCCCTCGGAGGTGGGAAAAGCTGACCCAAAAGTGTTGAAGTGACTGGAGGATTCAGCATATGCCCCTGATGGCTGCAGTGTGTTTCGCCAGGCTGAAGTCACTTCTTCACCCAGCAAAGAAATTGTGGGTCTAGATGGGGTGAGCAGAGGCGCAGGCGTTTCCTGGGGCGGCTCTGGCGGGCTGGTGGTGAGATCCTGCAGTGGGAAAACCATCTGTGAAGTGGTCCAGGGAGCCTCTGGTAGACAGTTGTCCATTTCCTCCTCATCAATGGCTACCTCGTTACTCGTCACTGAGCCATAATTCGCCACAAAGATGCTGGGATCTGCTGCGCTTGGGGTCTGTGGACCATAGTTTAAAAAGGTGGTGTCCAAAGCAATGGCAGATGAAGAGGAGGGCAGGAGGAGAGACCAGCTTGCCTGGGACCCTGGAGCAGTCTCTGTTAAGGCCATAAGGGCAGGGCTGCGCGCCGCGCTGGTCTCCAGCAGGAACTCCATGGAGGGTGAAGAAAGGTTGTGCTGCTGTTTCAGATAGATCTCATCTAGGAAGAAAACCAAAGCTGCGTTAGCCAGGAGGCACTAAGTCACACGGCGAACATTGTGTGACAGGCAGAAAACACACACTCACTGCAAACACCCGTTCACGAGAAAGCCCCGCGATTCGCAGTTAGAAGTTCAGCAGTGAGCTGGAAGCCAGACACTGCCAGAATCACAGACACGACAGTATCTGTAAATATTCATAAACCTGAGCAGCACCTTTACTCCAGCTTGCATACATGTGAACACATTTGCACGCTTTTTTGATGTCTTGTACTTTCTAACAACACACAGTCAGAAGACAGGAAATGCAAGGGGCTTTCCAAGGCTGTCTAGCCATTCTCTCCTACTCACCCAACACACAAAGAATGGGAGCTTAGGGAAGGTCCATAAATTAACTACACATTCACTGACTAGGGAAGATCAATAAATTACCTACAAGAGCACCCATCCAAGGCTGCCTCAACTCCAAAGCCCATGACAAGAGCTGGCTCCTAAGAGAAATGAACCAGACGGCTCCTGATGTTCTATCCACAGTTTTCCAGCTGTGCTCCTTGCCAATTTCTGGCTCTTCCCATGCAGGCTCCAGACACCTCCCAGCCCACTTTTCACTATCCCTTGCCCCACCCCCTCCTCTCAGGCCTGCACAACTATACTCTAGACAAATCCACATCCTTAGTTGTATGCTGGTGCTCATATCTATAATCTTGGCTACTCAGAGGCTGAGATCTGAAGATCACAGTTCAAAGCCAGCCTGGACAGGAAAGTCTGTGAGACTCTTGCATCCAATTAAATACCAAAAAGTCAGACGTGGAGCTGTGGCTCAAGTGGTAGTCAGCCTGGAGTGAAAAAGCCAGGTAAAGCTCAAGGCCTTGAGTTCAAACTCTAGTACCAGCATACACATGCATACACACACACAGACACACACACACAGACAGACACAAAGCATATAGGTATATATATGAAATATATATATATATATATATATATATATATATATATATATACACATACATATATATCTTTTGCCAAACCCACATCTACTCTGGCTTTGTGACTTGCACATTGCTGCCACCATTCTGTCTGGATTCTCCCACTGGCCCTTCAGCTAGAATGTAGCTCTGACCTCCTTCTTCTGACTAAAGGGGAGTTAGCGAGTCCCTTCCAGTCCCATTTGTCACTGTACCTGCCGAAATTAACCAGCTCATTAGACTGTAGCTTCTCAGAAACAGGAGAGAGTAATTAATAAACATTGTTTCTGGACTGGGAATGTGGCTTAGTGGTAGAGTGCATGCCTAGCATGCATGAAGCCCTGGGTTCAATTCCTCAGTACCACATAAACAGAAAATGCCAGAAGTGGTGCTGTGGCTCAAGTGGTAGAGTGTTAGCCTTAAACAAAAAGATGCTCAGGGACAGTTCCCAGGCCCTGAGTTCAGGGACAAGCAAAACAAACAAACCAAAAAAAAAAAAACAACCCTATTGTTTCTCTCTTTTTCTATGCCTAGCACAGTGAATGCATAGTGTAGAAACTCAATAAATATCCACCCAGAGAATGAATAAGAGATATGTTGCTACTAAGTTCCAAAAGCGCTGAAGCATCCAGTTATCTGCTCAGACTCTCCTAGCCTTCATCCCAGTGACAGCTACTACCTTCTTTTATTTTTTTTAACCAGTCTGGGGCTTGAACTCAGGGCCTGACTGTTGTTGCTAAGCTTCCTTTGCTGAAAGCTAGTGCTCTACCACTTGAACCACAGTGTCAATTTGGCTTTTTTTTGTTTTTTTGCTAATTTATTTGAGACAAGAGTCTCATGGACTTTCCTGCCCTGACTGGCTTCAAACCACGATCCTCAGATCTCAGCCTCCTGAGTAGCTAGGATTACAGGTGTGAGCCACTGGCACCCAGCAGCCACCAGCCCTTATAAGGTACTGGCAACTCCCTTGTAGTTCAAGTAGACAAGAAGGGGAAGCAACGGTCCAGATGCTGAGGACAGCACAGGGTCCCGTCCACTTCACCGGGCAACAGTCATCAACCAGACTTTCACCTGTGCCAATGGGTGAACTAGTACAGGGATAATCTTTAACTTACTTCATGTTATGAAGGTGTCCTGAGTAGCAGAGGGAAATGTGGGCACACGCATGCATGCGTGAAGATGAGAGATCAGGGGACATATCTACAAGTCCAAGAATACTAGCCAACCCCCAGCAGTTAGGAGACTCCCATGGAACAGATTCTCCCTCACAGACCACAGGGTGAACCAGCCCTACCTATGCCTTCATCTTGGGCTTGTAGCCTCATACGTGACATAATTCATCTCTGTTCTTTTTTTTTGTCGGTCGTGGGGCCTGAACTCTGGGCCTGGGCACTGTCCTTCAGCTCTTCAGCTCAAGGCAAGCGCTCTACCACTTGAGCCACAGCACCACTTCCAGTTTTCTAGTGGTTTATTAGAGATAGGAGTCTCACAGTCTTTCCTGCCCAGGCTGGCTTTGAACTGTGATCCTCAGATCTCAGCCTCCTGAGCAGCTAGGATTACAGGTGTGAGCCACCAGCGCCTGGCTCATCTCTGTTCTTTGACGAGAGAGAGAGACAGAGACAGAGACAGAGACAGAGACAGAGACAGAGAGAGGCAGAGAGGCAGAGAGAGAGAATGTCTACTTCAACTTTGACTTTAGACAGCAGGTATGCAAAAAGCTTAGAACATATATGAATAGCTCAGTATCATATACTAAGACCCCTAATTTGAAATAGATCTGCTCCACAATGTCTGGCAGATGCCAACATCCATTGTCCTAAAGCCAGGCATGGTGGCATGCACTTATAGTTCTGGATACTTGGGAGGCTGAGACAGAAGAATCACTTGAGTCCACATAATTAAGATTCAACCTGGACAATGTAGCAAGATCTTGTATCAAAAAAAAAAAGGTCCCAAGAAAAGCATACTCTCCAATCAGCAATGAAGTATTGCTATTGCTAAGGCTATAACAAATATGAGTACAGAATAGAGTTTATAAAACACACAGGGAAATAAGGTATCATGAAAAAAATTAAGTCAAAAGAAATCCCCACAAATAACATCAGATCTTTAAAAAACCGTAGATACTGGAATTCTAGAATATATTTTTTTAAAGATACACTTAACTCATTTTAAGTAATGAGGGACCATAAAGAGTAAAGAGCACCAGGTTATAAAAACTGGCTGGTAGTCAGGCCCCAGTGGCTCACGCCTGTAATCCTAGCGACTCAGGAAACTGAGATTTGAGGATCACGGTTCAAAGTCAGCCCAGGCAGGAAAGTCAGTGAGACTCTTACCTCCAATTAACTACTAGAATACCAGAAATGAAGCTGTAGTTCAAAGTAGTAGAATGCTAACCTTGAGCAGAAAATCTCACCAGGTCCTGAGTTTAAGCAAAACAAAAACAAACAAACAAACAAAAAAAACTGGCCAGAAATATTTGAAAACAAAGAAAATTTTGAAATGAAAAATACCATAACTAACCTGTTATAGCTCACTGTACATGTAGGACCAGCAATTTAGATACCGCTAAAGTGAGATTTAAAAAACTGAAAGATAAAACTGAAGAATTTACTCAAAATGGGAAACAGAGAAACAAATAGATGAAAACCTAACAATAGAAGCCTTAAGTCACAGCAAAGATGGGACAGTCCAATATCGACTAGATAAAAATTTTAAGAAGCCGGGTGCCAGTGGCTCATTCCTGTAATCCTAGCTATTCAGGAGGCTGAGATCTGAGATCACAGTTCAAAACCAGCCTGGGCAGTAAAATCTGTAAGACTCTTATCTCCAATAAACCACTCAGAAAATCAGAAGTGATGGTGCAGCTCAAGTGGTAGAGTGCTTAAGAGCTGAGGAACATACTATTGTTTCTAACATATTTATAAGATGATTTCTTTGTTGCTTTGTATGTCCCTCCCCATGGTATAACCCCTGTTTTTACTGTATTTGATGTTGAAGGGATGGTAAGGGGAAACAGAGGAGGCAACAATGCTCGATAAGAAATGTACTCATTACCTTGCCCATGTAATTGTAACCCCTCTCTACGGTATTGTCACAATTAAAAAAAAAAAAAAAAAAAAGAGCTGAGGAACAGCATCCAAGCCCAGAGTTCAAGTCCCACGACCAAAAAAAAAAAAAAATTAAGAAAAAAGTAAGAGAGACAAGATTCAAAGAAACAGCACCAAGGATCTTCCAAAGTTAATAAGCAACATTAATTCTGTATTGTAAGAAGATCATGAACTCTCAAGCAGGGTGAATTTTTTTTAACTTACACCCACAAACAGGAGACCACAGAACAACAAAAACAAAGGCAAACTATAAAAGCAGCAGAGCTGGGTAAGTGATTGTAATACACAGCAGATAACTATTTTGCAGAACTAGAAGTCAGATGACAATGGAACAAGAAAGAGAAAAAGTTTGACATCTTGGATTTGACTAATCAAGAAAACACACGAAATAATAAAGTGTTAAGATAAAAAGTGTTAACACCAAAGATATTCAAAGGATACAAAGATATCCATCAGGAAGAAGGGTAATTATCTCAGAAGAAATAGAAAATAAGTGATAAACACATAGTAATATAAATATATAATAATGATAATATAAATATTACAAATAAATTACACAAATATGTAATTTATGAGCTTACAAAGACAAATACTATTGAATTAAAATAGTGTATGCATACAGAAGACAAAACAACAGTAGAAGTATCTGAGATCCACTAGTCAAGATGAAAATTGAGTTAATGTAAAACTCTGTGAACAGAATATCTTTACACAAATGTAAAGACACTAAAATTTTTGAAGTAGTCTTGGCAGGGTGCTGATAATCCTAGCTCCTCGAGAGACTGAGATCTGAGGGTTGTAGTTTGAAGCCAGCCTGGGCAGAAAAGGCCTCAAGACTCCATCTGCAATTAAGCAGCAAAATGCCAGGCTGAAGGTGTGGCTCAAATGGTAAAGGGCCAGCCATGAGCAGAAAAGCAGACCAAG